CCTAAATTTGTACTTGAAAGAAGTGCTTGTCTTCAATTACATGTTGGTATGAATAAAATTTTGTTTTCCTGCCAATGTGGCTCAGTAATTGAGCATGGACCTATGGATCAGGGGGTCCACTTGTTAGATTACCAGTCAGGGCACATGCCCAGATTGCAAGCCCAATTCCCAGTGTGGTACGGGCAGCCAATCAATGATTCTCTCTCATCACTGATGTTTCTATTTCTCTATCCCTCTCTCTTCCTCTCTGAAACCAATAAAACTATAATAATAAAAATTGTGTTTTCCTGCATTCAGAGTCACTGACCCTGTGTTAAGACGCTTGCTCTAACATGATCCAACTTGGGTTGTTCCCTTAACTTTCTTCCTTCTGAAGCACTTATTCTAGACATTCATATTTTAAATATGGAAATATCAAATTTGGCAGATTCTCTTGCCTCTGTTACCCCCATGGAGCCATTGAGAAAGGCGCGTGAACTCTTTCAGAAATGCACTGTTTACCCTGGACAAAAGCAGTGTCTTCTGTGGGGTAGACAAATACTTCAGAATATCAGGATGTTGGATTTCTTAATATTTGGTATAATAGTTAACTCACAGATGCAGCTGACTCTCACCTGGATGTTCATGTCTGGATGCAACTCCTGCCTTCCTACCTAGGACTCTCCTTCTCCCACTCAAGAGAGCTACCCAGGATGCAGTGACTGAGCTGAATATTAAATGTGAAGCTGTTCTAATTTCTTTTGTCACGACATTTATGGAAACATGGGTATTTCATGATCAACAACAAACTGATAGTGAGAAACCTTTCGGCACATGCCTGTGATGAGAAAACTCCATGGTTGAGAACAGCTATTCTATGCAGAGAGACATACACTAAGGAATTTGGACTTTTGGGCCACCTTAATGCCACTTAATAGTTGTAGTGAAAACCTCATTGACTTGGAAGAGTTCATGTTTCTCTTGAGCAGAGTTTGGCACTTTTTAATCTAAAGATCTAGGGTAATCAATGTTCCAGACTTTGCAGGTCCATCTGGTCTCTGTTGCAACAACTGTGCTATTGTAGTGTGAAAGCAAACACAGATAAAACCTTCATGAATGGGTGTGGATGCGTTCCTGAACCACGTCCACGTGGTTCAGGGTTCAGGCTCTAGAGGAGGCCATGCACAAATGAAAGAGACTAGAAAATATTAATTTGGAAATATTGGGGGCCAGGTGGGAGCCCAACTCAAGGGGAAGGACTCCACCCTGCTCTAGTCTTGCTATCCCTTTTATTAAGACTATGGGCAGGCAATTCCAATGATAGCCAATCAGCAAGGATTTACATAAAACTAAAAGTTGGAAATTGCTTTACATTCTCTCAACTAAACAGTGGGTGGTTGGCTCTGACCTTTCAGAGCTTCAAGGTTGACCAGCCTTCCGGGTTCCTTGTCCACACCTTTCTGCAAGTGAGGACAATGGGTGGCTTCTGACATGTTCCAATAAAAACGAACTTATGAACACTGAATTTTGAGTTTTTATATAATCCTCAGATGTCACAATATATTAATCTTTAAAATTTTTTTTCCACTTTGTAAACATGCCAAAACCATTTTTAGCTCATAAGCCATATAGAAATAGACATTGAGCCAGATATTATTCATAGGCTATAGTTCGCTACTTCTACTGTTAAGTATGAAATCAATAGCCAGATAGCAAACCAAATAAGTAGGTTTATCTGGTTGGTTTTGGCAACCCAAAGGGTCTTGCACTTAAAATAAATTTTAACTAGAATGTGAAGTGACAAATCTTTTATATTTTTAGATGGTACCACATATAGGAACAGTTTAGAGTTATATAAGACAGAATCTCTTAGTCTGAAATCAATCAGGACCCTGATCTCAAAGACAATGTGTAAGAAGCATCGGTTGTACACAGGCATTGCAGACCGTTGTATCTAAGTCCGTGTGTTGTGGGAGCAAATTTGTGCAGCACAAATTTAGAGTTTCCTTTTTATTTTATTTTTGTGTACACCTAATTAAAAGGAATATGGTATTAATTTACCTTTACCAGAGTTTGTAAATTTTTCAGTATTTCTACAGTTTTATGTGTTAGCAAGAACATGAAAGTTTGAAAGCATCCATATGAAACACATTTGCTTATTTCTCTTCAAATAGAACTTTAGCTATGACCAACTATTACATTATTAATTTACATAATCATCATACCCTCCCAATCTAAATCCTTAAGAAAAAGCTTTATTAATGATGATCAATGGTAGAAATGAGTATCAGGGTTTTTTTTTTTTTTTTTCTGGTAGACAAACGAAGACAAATTAAAAGAAGGGGAAAAATGAGGAGAGTGGTAGACAGTAGCAATATGGCATGGGTATAGAAAATCCCTGTGATTCATGGAAAAGTTAGAGCTCACAGATTAACTCTGTTGTGAGAAAATGTTTCAGTTCTTGTAGAACAGTTCCTATTAGCCAGATCATTACAAAAATTGGTATAACGTTTCACCTGTTTATGAACCAGGCAGAGCAAAATGTATAATATTAAACATGAACTTCAATCTTGTTGTGGTGGTGGTTGTTTTATAAATATCACCAGACACACATCTGGGGTTTTAGTGCTTTCCACAGTGTAGTTTTCTGGTTGACATATCTAAGAAATGTGTATAACACCCAGGCGATAGAGCCAAGCACATTTTAGTGTAGGCTACAGCTGAAAGAATATGTTTCCATTCCTTGTCCATCTGTTCTTGGCGACATAAATTTAAACTAGAAACAGAGTAAGTTTCATAAAAAATAAGTCTAACTAGGGTTTAGAACAGCAAGGTGAATGTCCTAAATTATCATGATTTGTTAACATTTGACTTTGTGGCTAGAAGTTTGTTTTTATTTAGAGAATAAAAACATGCTGAAGCTATAGCTTAAAGTTTAAAAATATAGTTGTGTTTGTTTGTTTTTTATCAGTTAACTTACAAAATACTTTGTCACACTCTCTGTTTCAAAGGTTATTACATTTGCCAGTGATCATGAGCCTAACAAACTTTGGGATTTCAAAGCGTTATTTGCCACACACTTGAACTGTATTGAAAATGTGTCATCTACATCTCTGAACTGCATGCTCAAATTGATTTATTAGCAGAGAATAAAGATTTTCCATATAAAATGGAGTCCACATGAAACACATTTGCTTGTTTTTCTTCAAATAGAACTTTAGCTATGACTAGTTATTACATGATTATCTTATATAATCATCATACCTCCCAATCTGAGACAACCTCCAGCATTGTCTGCTACTAAAACAATATTAAACTATTTACACTTGAAAACTCATGAGAATTTATATCTATAAAAGCCTAAGCAACATGCCGACCAACCAGTAGCTATGACAGAGACTGACCACCAAGGGGGCAGATGCTCAACGCACAGGCATGGAAACATGGAACAGACTAATGAATCTCAGAGTGAAGAGGGGAGGGTGGGAAGAGATTAATCAAAGCTCTTCTATAATACTAGAGGCTCAGTGCACAGATTTATGTACCAGTGGAGTCCCTCACCTTGACCTGCAGGGACCAGGCCAAAATCAGCTCTCTGACATTCCCCAAGGGGTCCCAGGTTGCGAATCTGAGCACTGGGCCTCTAGTATTAAAATAAAAGGACCATATATATGCACCTAGAGTTTCACCTCCAAATCAAAGGTTCAATATTCATTGCTCAATAGGAAAGCTGGTAGATTATGTGTCAGAGCTGGGTTCTACAGGATTCTATTGAAGTTAGTACACTTTTTGTTTTCTGGCTGAGTAAAAAATGCCTCCCACTTGGCCAGTGTGGCTCAGTGGTTGAGCAAGAATCTATGAACCAGGAAGTCTAGTTCGATTTCCTGGTCAGAGCACATGCCCTTGTTATGGGCTCGATCCCCAGTTGGGGACATGTAGGAGGCAGGCAATCAATGATTCTCCCTCATCATTGACGTTTTTATCTCTCTCTCTCCCTCTCCCTTCCTCTCTGAAAACAATAAAAATACATGTATATTTTTAAAGCCTCTCCCAACCTCTCTTCCTATATAAGAAACATTTCTGTAATTTTTAAAGCCTTTTTGATATGGCTGATTTATCAAATATAACATAGTGGTTATGCAACAAAATGTAGTTGGGTTTAAACTTTGGCTCTGTCACTTCCTACGTATGTGGGTATGAATAAGTTATTTCTCTAATTTTCAGTTCCTCTGTCTAAAAATTAGAATAATCCCATATTTGCCTTAAAGTGGTTTTCAGGCAGAGTGAATGAGATGATATATAGAAATAGATTAGTTCAGTGTTTACTTTGTAAACAACAAGCAATGCCTATTACTATTGGATTCTCTCTGCTGTACCCTGTTTTAAAAAAAAAAATGATTGCACTGTGCTAATTAGCTAGTCCACTTCCACATTTTATTCCTATCATCAGGAGATCGTTGCAATAAATTAATGTTGTTTCTTGAACTTCTGCACAGAGTTACCTATGACTCTGGACAAGTCTCTCAGCGATTTAGAGACTCGGCCTTCTTTTGTCTAAAACGAGAACTGTAATTGCATGATCTCTTAGGTCTTTTGTTGGAGTAAGTTAACAAAATCATATTTGACAGAATATTCTCATACTTTATTTATAGCGCTGAAATGTGTGTGTGCTGCCAAATGTCTGATGTGGGTGTATAGTGTCCCACATATACATGTGGAATAACATTAAGTTTGTTGATGTTAAAAACTACTGGTATACTTTTTGGCATTCTTTGGCTCGCGATCCCTTCTGCCCGTTTTGTTTTAGAATAAGCTGACAGCAAATCTTTTCGCACAGCACCTCAAGGTTTAGTTAAACTGAGAGTTTCTTAAATAGGCCATCTTTTCATTACTTTCAGTACCCAAGACAGAGAGGCTTTCTTTGTGAAGTAGTTTTTATTTTCCAACTCCATATCTGATGTCGTTACATTGTACACACATGCCTATGCACTGTGGCTTACAAGGCTTCTGTTTCCTTCTAGATCTGAGTGATCAGCTGCTGGAGGTGGTTGGCTTGGAAGGAGCCATGGAGATGGGGCAGATCTACACAGGACTAAAAAGTGCTGGGAGGCGGCTGGCTCAGTGCTCCTCTGTGGTCATCAGGTAGTTCTATCTCTGCAATTGAAAATGGGCGTTGACATAGTATAACTACAAACTAATTAAAAGTATGCAGGAGTCTGATAACAACATTTGTCTTATTTGTATCTCAAGTTTTCAATTATGAATACTGATATATTTCAAAATAATGAAAATTGCTTAGCTATGACTTATCAGGTTCATTTGCATTCAATAATCTTTTGTTGAGACCATGGGTACAATTTTATCATACAGATTTTATCCCCTCCAATCTGGGTTACATTCAGTGTAGTGTATTGAAAGGCTCAGTTTAGTTTACTAAAGCATCGGGGTATCTGCTGGGCAAATTACCCAATGAAAACGCTGTTGGAGCATTATTAATTTAAATTCCTTCATGGATCAAAGTGCACCAATTTTTATATATAATTAAATAATTAACTATTGTGAATTAATAAGATTTTATATATGTGTTACATTTGAACCTTGTCAAAAAAAAAACATTTTTCCCCAAAATGTTTACCTACAGAAAAAAAGGTATATCTGATATTAAGGTAAAAGCATGTATTACAACACAAAAATAAGCAGCATTCTTTACATGAAAGTGTTGATACTGGAAAGTCTGAGATGACAAACACTTTTATTCCATGTTTGCAATGAAAACAAGGAATTTCTTCTGGCTGTAGGAATTCTGGTTTTGCCATTAAATATAAACATTACTTTTGTTTTTTGCATCAGAGTTTTTGTTATATCACCACATTTACCAGGAAGTGCAACATCCCTATCAAGGAACCTTTAAGATATCTATATATATAAAAGGCTAATATGTGAAATGTTCCCTTGGGTGTTTGATCAGGAGACCGGGAGTTCGATCACTCGCTGACCACCAGGGGTCGTCATGGAATGAAGGAAGGCTCTGACTGGCAGCCAGGGAAGGAAGGCCCCAGTCAGGCCTAGTGACCCTATCCATGCACAAATTTTGTGCACTGGGCCTCTAGTTCATTAATAAGCAAGAATTTAAGTCACTTTTAAAATAGATAACTTTAGAGCCCAGCTGTTACCATATTTTCATTTCCTGGTCTCATTATCTTATGTCTTACATGCATAGTCTGTTAGATAAAGTCTTTCAGTGATATAATTAAAAGTAAATCTTTTCTTCCAGGACTAGCAAGTCTTTGCCAATGCAGATCGATGGGGAACCATGGATGCAGACCCCATGCACAGTGAGTAGAGTAGTTGAAATTCTAGTCCTTTCATTTCTGCTTACTAGGTATCATATACTCCTATAACTAACTAATGTCTATAACTCAATAATCATAATATGTAAGAGGTACCATTTATTTTCTTAGTTATGTAATAAATCGATTACATTCAGGTTTTAAGCATTATAAGCCCTTGACAGTGATTTAGCTTTGGAGTGTCTGTGTTAGCCTAGGTATAACCTTTAAACGCTATAGATCAGTTATACACTCTGAAACTAAACAGAATTGATAAACTTTCTTGTACCTTTCTTATACTTACTTCAGAATAGCATATGAGGAATTGGTATATGATACCTTTAGACAAAAGTCTCCCATCTGTTCTTTTGCCTCCATTTGGGGATTTGAGGGCTTCTTTCTCTATAGAAAAACTTTCTCTATACTTTTTCCCCATAATGAGGTATTAGTTAAGTCAGAAACTTATAACCCCCAAATTTTCTATGTTCATTTGAATAATGAACATTTTGTTACATTTCATAAATATGCTAGGCACTGCTGGTTGGCACTAAGAATGGAAACATAATCGTGATCAATTATAGAAAATTGAAATAATGAAATTGAATAGACCATGATTGATAATTTAATTGTCTTCAAGGAACTTATTTCTGATAATAAGAGATTGGGTAAATGTAAATAGACATATAACATAACTTCGGATTACAAGGTTATGAAAAAAACAAGGCAAAATAATGAAGAGGAACTGGGTAAAGTGTGGAGAATGCTACTTTATGGGTGGATCTGGGGGGCTTCTTTGAAAGAAAAGTCGAAGCTCAGTGTGTTAAAGAAACAGTAAGGAGGACGGTATGACCAAAGCTTCTAGAAGTAGGGGAGAGTGGTGAGAGGTAAAGCAAAAGATGGACAGGGGTCAGGTCAAGTAGAAAAATGATAGCAAAGAGTTAGCATCTGATTGTAAGTATAATAGGAAAGCTATTGAGACTTTGAGCATCATCTGATTGATATGTTTAAAGTTCACCTTGGCTGCTACGTGGAGAATAGATTGTTCTGACTTGCAGCTGGGAGACAGGATCTATCAAAGTAGTCTGGGGCTGGGCAAGGATAGTGGCAGGGAAGTGGATGGATTTGAGCTACCTTCTGGAATTGAAGCAGAAAGAACTTGCTAATGAGTTCCCTTGGGGTGAGGGATAAGGGATGAGAGAAAGAAATGAATCAATGTTCACTCTTACCTTAAGATTGGGTGCGACACTGTTTAGAGAGTGATAGGGGAGGTCTTAATATTAAATTAGTATTAGCATTTTGCTAAGTGCTGGTGGTGCATGTTTTTTTTTTAATTGAGGTATAATTGACATAGTACATTATATTAGTATTTAATAAATATTTACACAAATTCTCAATAATGGTTAGCACCACTTTTCAGATGGAGAAAACTGATGCTTTGGAAGGTAAAATAACTTATTCAAAGTCAGATATGAAGCAGATATGGAACTCAATCCAGGTTTCTTTTGATTAAAGCCCATTCTCTTAACCATTAATTTAAACAATTTTGGCTACAGATTCCAAACAGCACAACTTAGCATAAAAGAGGGAAGTTTTAATCATACCTATCTAGTGGTTTTACCCAGAAATTATTGACTCAGCCTTTGTTTAGAGCACATACATATGACTCTTTGTTTATTCCTAATATATTCCTTTTAGCTACTTGAACCCCAAGTTTGTGATATACATTAGTTCTGCAATAATGCTATAAAACAAGCATGTGAAAAATTACTCTAGACTGGCTACTTCTTATGCCTTTTACTATCTCTGTACATGGGACCAAACACCCTTTTAATTTTTCCTGTTTCTGCCCTGGATGCCAGTGTGGCTCAATTGGTTGGAGTTTAGTCCCATATGCCAGAAGGTAAAAGGTTCAATTCCCAGTCAGGGCACATGCCTAGTTTGTGGGTTCCATCCATGGTCTGGTCTGGGCACATGGGAGGCAACAATTGATGTATCTCTCACATTCATGTGTGTATGTATCTCTCTCTCTCCCTCTCCCTTCCTCCTCTGAATTTCATGTTCCTCTCCCTTTACTAGGTATATACACTTAGTTCTTGTCCATTTCCAAATGACATTTTTAAAGTTTACATTTATGTTCATATGGAGGTTAAAGATGTTGTTGCTGTTGCTAGTGGTAGTGTGGTGGTGGTGATGGTTAGAATTATAGCATTGAAGTAACAGAGCTCATGATAGTGATGATGGAAGCTGTGGTGAAACTTTGGTTATGGTGATGATAGCAATTGTGATGATCATGGTGGTGGTGGTGGTGGTGGTGGTGATGGCAATGAGGTGGTCATGAAGCGCTAAGATGCTGTCAGTGATAACAGTGATGGTAGTTGCAATGCTCATGCTGATAGTGTTGTAATACAAGATGGTAGGGGTGGTGGTAATAGCATTATGCTTGTCTTGCATAAAAGGTCACTTTTCATCAGCCCAAGTAACAAGAGAATAAATAAAAGACAGTGAAAACAAATACCTTCCATTAGTACTCTGTATTATTTTAGACTCTTCTCGGGGAGAGGGGGAATTTAGCTTTCTTGCTGTTTTAAATCATGAAGGATCAATAGCAATAACAATGTATAGCAACTATTAAGTTTTTAATTTGTTCCAGTTTTAGACACTTGGCATGTGTTGACACACTAAATGCTCACAAAACTTATGACTGGTTTCATTTTATGGATAAAGCAACTGAGGCAGGCAAAGGTGAAATAGTTTGCCTTGTTCCACACAGATAGTAAATGGCAAAGTAGAGACTGAAATACAGGTGGCCTAGCTGTACTCGCTGCAGCTACACAGTCCATCCTCAGGACACAGTCCCTCCAGTGTGACCTTTGGTAAGCCCACCTACTGCTCTGCTCCAGCTTTTAAAAGTCTATGTCTATTAAAATCGAATAAATGTTTTAGAATAACTTTAGCTTATTTCACATGAGTACTTGTAATACATTTGTTATTTCCTTTCAATGAGTAATTGGACATTTATTTTGCCTATTAATTATCATGATCTATACAATTGTTGAATTAATAATACATTTTATATAGCATATTTAATATTCTCTCCTTGCAAATACTTTTATTCACATCAAACATTTATTACAGCCTACAGAGGGCCAAGAAGTATATCAGACTATGGCTTATTATTGTTACTTCACATTCTGGCAAACGCTGCTTTTCCTAGAACCACATGGAGTTCTGAACTTTAAATTTCACTTCAACTGATGAGAATGTTAGCATTTATAACATTGGCATGGTTTAAATAGAGAGTGTTCTTTGCTTCGATTCAATAAGACAGTATTTTTCTTATAGAACATAAGAATTGGTAGAATGTTAAAATTCTTTGCCGAATTTAAATATCCATAAGCTGATCTTCAATTTATGCAGGAATTGCTCTAGATGTAATTTTGGAGCACAGCAGAAATTCCATTTTTTCTTTAAGTGCAGTATGTAAAATGGAAAGAAAGGTGATAAATGGGTCTTAATTGTTTATCAATTAATACCTTAAAAATCAAAGTATCATAAATTTTGGAAATTGATGGCAGTGATGTTTGTACAGCAATGTGAATGTACTTTATGCCATTGATCTGTGTGCTTAAATATAGTTAAAATAGAAAATTTTATGTTACTCATATTTTACCACAGTAAAAAAAAAGTAATTTAAAAAATTTGAGGTAGTATTTACTTACAAACTTCATAAATCCTGAGTTCAAATATCAAGAAAAGCAAAAACCAGACAACTTAAAGTTAACTCTTCAAATATATACTTTGTGTTTTTTAATCTTTATTGTTGAAAATATTATATATGTCCCCTCCTTTTCCCCATTGACCCCTTTTGGCCTGCTCCAGCCCCCACCCCAGACCTTCACCACACTATTGTCTATGACCATGGATTAGGCATACAAATTCTTTGGTTGGTCTCTTTCTACTCACCTACCTCCATTCCCTCTGATAGTCTGTTCCATGCTTCTGTGTCTCTAGATCTGTTTTGTTCATTCAATTCAACAAATGAGTGAGATCATGTGAATGTTATCTTTATCTGACTGGTTTATTTTGCTTAGCATAATTTTTATGATCTTTTAAATTATCTTACACGAAAGTAGCCAAGAAATGTGTTAAGTATTCCGGTGTTTATAGTTTTCTAGTACTTACCGAGTTAACAGAGAATCAATTTTGGCCATTTGATTCTAGAAGACTTCATTCCTTAGCCTGGACTCCAGAGCCCAACTATTTTCCCCTCTCTCTCCTTCACAATCCCTGCACCTCCTCCCCCCACACCATCTGCTGACTTCTTATAACATTTCCAAACTCCTGCTCCTCCCTTTGAATTAGCTACATTATGTATCCAATGTTCCCTAAGCTAAAATCCTGAGAGTCATTATACTTTTCCAAATCTTTATATTCATGACCATGCCTACCTAGTGATATGACATATTTCTGAAATCTTTTCTTTTTTTTCATCCCAAATGCCACTATTCTCGATTTTATTTCTCCCTTGTTCCCATTTTACTTCTTTCTCATTCCTAACAATAACCAGATCAATCTTTCCCTATCTCAATTTTTTAAATCTAGATTCATCTTTCACTTTTCTGCCAGAATGGTCACATAAAATACTAATTGTACCATGACACTCTTCTACTGAAAATCATTTCCTTTTTTCAATCTGATAAAATATAATTCAAAACACCAATATAATTCCTGTTCCTCCATTATCCTCTCTAACTTCTTTTTCATTTCATCATGCACTTTCCTTTTCTCCAAATAAACTTTTTTTCTTTAGCTGAGTAATACAATTTACCTTTTGACACTTTTTTCATGCTGCCCTCCATCCATAACTGAACATCATTTTCTCCACTCTTCCACCTCATTCCTGACTACAATGAGTCCAATGGTTCAGCCTTGGTACTTCATAACCATACCAAATAGCTAACTATATTACCTATAATTGACATCAAGGCAACTTCTGGAAGGCATAT